TACACTTTAACGTATCGAAACCGTTGCAGTGAGTTACAACTCATTAAGAAGCCGGCGCATCCAAAGCAAATCCCTGGTAAAAGGCTTGAGAGAAAGACCATGAAATTGATTAATCATTAAGCCAGCCCACAAGGGCAACTGTACAGTGAGTGAGTGCATTGTCAGAAATGATGATGAAATCGTTCTGCAAGGGTTATTGCTGTTCGCGGTGAACGACTGTTTATGCGGAGCTTATTATTATTATTACTACTACTACTACTACTACTACTACTACTACTACTACTACTACTACTACTACTACTACTACTACTACTACTATTATTATTATTATTATTATTATTATTATTATTACTAGCATTTTACAGTTTATCACTCTTATCATTAATTATTATCCTCAATTGATGATGATAGTGATGTTGATGATTATTATTATTGATATTAATATTATTATTATTTCCATTGTCAATGCATCATTATTATCATTATTATCAACATTTTGCATAAATATTTTATTTTTAACGTTACTATTATTGTTATCATTTTATCATTCTTTATTATTGTTACAATTACTTTTTATAACCCTTTTTGTTATTATCATTACATTTTTTGTAACTGTTTTTGTTGTTGTTATTGTAATTGTTTACGTTGTTTAGTCTTGTTTGCTTTATTCTTTATTTTTTGTAATTGCTTCAAAAGCTGCAGCTGGCGATACTGAGATACTGAAATAAGGCTGTTTTTTTATTGCTGCGAAATCTCAGACAGAACTTTAAAAAGACTGGATTTGTTATCTCCATCTGCTAGAACAGCTGCAAAACAACATTTTAATTGTAAAGATGAAGGAATTTTCTTCGCCACCGACCGGGGTATCGACCCCATATTCTTTGTGTTCTCCGACAAAGAAAAACAAGCAAATTATAGTATTGATTCTTTACCCCCTACTGTTCGATGCTATCGATATCGAGTGGCAGGACACTTCAACCACGTCCGATTTCGGGGAGATTTTATTGCCTTGCACAGGGCAAAAGAACCTCTAACAGTATTGACCAAACTGTCCCTAAAGGCAACGTAGTTCGTGTAATGATCTTGTTCATCGTGCTTGCTTGCTTGCTTGCTGCTGTCTTCTTCTTTTTTTTCCTCTTCCGCACAGCATGGCATGAGTGTGATTTGTTTGGGTTTGTTTGAAATTACGGGATGGGGGAGAGGTTCTGTTTTCTTGCTTCTGTTGTTTTGTTTTTGTCTTTTTTGGTTGGGAGAAAGGGGGGGGGGCGGAGGTCGGGAGAGGAAAAGGGTGGGCTGTGAAGCCTTGATTTTTTTTTCGTGTGTTTGCTTATTTTTGTTGTAGCTGGGGTGGGGGGGGGTAGTTTTTGTTGTTTGTTGTTTTATTTTGTCTTGTCTTGGGTTTTTTTGCTTAATTCTTATATAAAGAGTGAGTGTGGGGGTGGGGCGTAAATTTTGGGCTTTATTTTGCTGGGGGGAGGGGGTTTTATGTTTCCTTTTGAAGGGGGTGGATGGGTATGATTATATTTGTGGGGGGGTAGAGTTCTTTTTTAGGGGGGCGGAGGGGGGGGGATTTGAGGGGGAGGGTGGTTTTTAGAAAAAATAGAGCTAAGAGCAGGGCTAAGTGCAAGGCCAAGTGTAGGGCTAAGGCTATGGCTAGGACTTGGACTAAGGATAGGGCTAGGAGCAGGGATAGAGTTGGAATTAAGGGTTAGGATTGGGGTTAGGGTTAGGGGTAACTGTAGAAGAAGGGATATGGTAAGGGTTAGAGTAAGGGTAGGGGGTAGAGGTATAGTAAGGGAGGTTCCTTCTTTTTCTTAATAACGTTGTTTTGTTGTTTTCTTGGAAAGGGAGTAAACTCCTAAATTCGCCTTAATACAAGTAGGGCCTACAGTCTTTCACTTTGGGAGAGAGAGGGAAAGTGCAAAGAACCCGAATCCTTAATTGTATGCTGATATTGATAAAAATATGACAAAGTGGTGGCATCTTCTCTATAAATGGTCAAGTTAGGGATTCACGACTCCGATCTCTTTCACTTCTCATGTTGAACGTAATCGCCACTGGTTTGTCTGACACTTGCAACAAGCCTGCGCTGAAATAATGCAGTCCAAATCTATTGACGTTTTGTATTGGGGTTGTTGTTGATTTTGCCCGGCTTTACTTTAGAGGGAGGGGGGGAGTCTGTTTAATTTATTCTGCAATATGTATCGTTCTTATTTCTACCTGTTCAGTGTGCGTTTAAAAGTCTTGACAATTTTTATCTTCACTGGAGTCGCATCCGTCTAGGAAAGGGTGCAAACCAAATCCTAATGTAAACAGATGTATTTGCGCGTGTATGTTTCAAAACCACTTTTTATATTTACCGACAAACCATTTAACTCGTAGATACTTTTTTGTCGATGAGTTTCAAGGCTACACTTTGAAAACAAAGACAAAAAGTCTTTGAGCATCCATTGGCACTCTTTAAAGTATTTTATTATATCATTCCATAAACACTTTCACCAGTAGACAGCCGTGTTGAACTGCAAACCATCTTAAGGCTAATCATACAACCCAAATGCCCCGCACATTTTCGTGGGCGACCCTCATTTTGTCATTATGGTACTTTTATCCACCAAAGGTGTTTGCTCTGTGTAAAGTAGGGCTCATCTTCACCTGGCAACAGTCGACAGTTCCAATTTCAAATGGCAAAGCTCACTCCCCGCCACCGCCACCCCCACCGCGTACCCCAACACACACGCGCGCGCTCAACAATCGACTGCACGGAGGGGGCAAATGGTAAGATTCTTCTGTGCATTGCCCAATTACTGCGGGGGAAGACACAGAACAAACACTGCGCTGTCTCCGACGCTTTGTCTGCTCCGTTTCTCTGGCATTTGGAAATCGAAATACCGATCCTCGGGACATGTTATGATGGT